AAAAAAAAAAAAAAAAATATACACATCATAGTAAAACCAATACCTTCTCTGCTTCGCATCGAAGCTAAAAAAAATGTCTTATGTTGTTAAGCTGTTTTTATTAGTAATTTATAAACGGTCACTCATTGAAATTACAAAAAATGAGATAAAACAGAATTATTTTATGGGAACTTTTAACCAATAATGTTTTTTGTTGGTGTAATGGTTAAACGATGAGATTTGGTCTTTGAGTTTCCCATTGTGCTTTAAAATTAAATTGAACGTAAATTTACTGCTTATAGTACTAGCTTTAGATGCTTTTGTTATTTTGTATTCTATCTAATTTAAACTTATAAACTATGAAAACTAAACAAGTAGTGACATCTAGCGGCCTGAATAACTCATATGTTATCTAAGTAGTTCATATGTGATTAAAAATTTACATAATCATACTCGTGATTATAACCTATTTTTTCTTATTACTTATAAACTTATTGATAATAAGTTCTACCCGGTTAATAATTGAGTCGTGGACGTTTAGTGATCCCATCTGACAGGCCATCAACTTAAGTATTTTGGTATAGCTTTTTTAAATTGGTATACACTAAATAATATAAATATATATATATATTAATTTGAGTAACATTTTTCATTGGAAATAGTAGGTTTTTCAATTATTATTTACTTTTACTAATAAAATTACTAGTTCATTATTCTTTTTTTTACCATACATTGGTAGGGGAGAACTAAACTTTACTTAAATCCTATCCGAAGATAACCTTTTTAAATGATCCGTCAGCAAATTTATTTTACCGATTTTGAACTTTGTACATATGTGTTATAATTTAAAATAATGTTGATTTGTAAACAGGTCTTATTGAAATCATTTTACAAGATACAACTTTAACAAGATGTCTGAAGAAGATGTTTCTCTCGAAAACCTCTCCATAGGTAATTTTTATAATTTTGATCATTATTAAGGATTGATCTTTCAATCTGTAAAATATTATATAAATATTTATTAAAATTATTTTCTCAATTGAAATTTATTAGATTTACATTTAATTACTTTATTATAAGTTATGATGGGTGTAACAATAAACGCATAAATTAAAATGATTTTTAATATCTAGATATTTTTAAAATGATTTATTTTCCTGTTAAGTTATTATTTTATGTCATAGTAATTATTGAAATGATTATGCTTTGAGGTTTTTAAGTCTATATATTTTCTTATATACACAAAAATGTGTAGTATCTCTCAAAAAATCTTATTTAGAAATTTTCCTTTAAATCAATATATTTTAATGTTATAAATTATATATCTGTGTCGGTTTTTCTAGGTGAGTTATACACTTCTGAAAAACTTGGCAGCGATGAGATAGGTGATGGTAGCGAAACAAAACCTTTTAAATCCATATTGCGTGCAATGAAACATGCTGGAAAAGAACCATTTCCTGCAATTTTTGTAGATTCTAAAAATGAAGGACAAGTAAGTATTATATTTTGAACAATTATTTAACCAATTGAACAATGAATAATTTTATAGATACATTATAGTGTTTATAGGAAGTAAATTGAATTGTGTTGTATTTACATTATACATATATTGTTAGTTCAATTATTTAATTAAAGCAGAATTAAAACAAAAAACAAATTTTTATTAACCAAATATCTTGGGGTTATTAAATATCTTAAAAGGTCACTATTTAAATGTATGTTTTAAAAATGTTTAATTAATTTTTGAACTAATAGATTTATGAGGTTGCTCCTAAAACACAACTAAAAAAAAATCAAAAATTGTGGGTAAGAGATAATCATAAAAATGCTGAAAAAGCAAAAAAAGAAGAAGAAGATACAGCTAAACGTAATAAAAATTTAGAAGATGCCAAAAAAATTACTATAAATGAAGATTTAACGTTATCACCTGCTAAATTAATTAAAATTAGAAATGCTAAAGAATATCGTAATTCTAGAGTAAAAGTATATGGATGGGTCCATAGATTAAGGCGACAAGGTATTTTTGCTTTACTTAATAATTATAAAAAAATATACTATGGTGGAATGTTTTTTTAGGAAAATCATTGATGTTTATAACACTTCGTGATGGAACTGGATTTTTACAGACAGTGCTTAATGATAAATTATGTCAAACATACAATGCATTAATGTTATCTACAGAATCCTCTGTATTACTTTATGGAATTTTAAAAGAAGTACCTGAAGGAAAATCTGTAAGAATCTTTAAGCATAATCTATAAAACTGAATACTTATTAACATGAATTATTATTAGGCTCCAGGGGGGCATGAACTTCAAGTTGATTTTTGGGAATTAGTAACATTAGCTCCTCCAGGAGGTGCTGATTCTATTTTAAATGAAGATGCTCATCCAGATGTCTTGTTAGATAATAGACATATTGCCATTCGTGGAGAAAATGTAACATTAATAAAGGTAATAAACAAAACATTTTGTTCAAAATAACGTTTTTTGTTCTTAGACTTCCAAAATTTTATTGATGAGGTCTATTGTTACTCAAGCATTCCGTATGCATCATTTAGACAATGGTTATGTAGAAGTGGTTCCACCAACTCTAGTGCAGACTCAAGTAGAAGGAGGTTCTACATTGTTTAAACTCGATTATTTTGGGTAATTATTTAGCTGCATAAATATATTAGTTTCACTACAAAATATCTGTTTAGGCAAGAAGCATATTTAACTCAAAGTTCCCAACTTTATCTAGAAACATGCTTACCAGCACTTGGTGATGTGTTTTGTATGGCTCAAAGTTATCGAGCAGAACAAAGTAGAACTAGAAGACATTTATCAGAGTAAGAATAACAATAATAATAAAAATAAATGTTAATAAAATATTTTATTCTTTTTTAGATATACACATGTTGAAGCTGAATGTCCATTCATATCTTTTAATGATTTATTGGATAGAATAGAAGATATGATTTGTGATGTAGTAAAACGTGTCTTAGAATCCCCTCATGCAGAAATTGTTAAACAATTGAATCCAGTAAGTTATATTTTTATACATCGTTTTTAAAAATAGTAAAATATTGTCTTTATTATAAAATGTTAATTTTTGTTTAGGTATCATAAAAATATCTCCAGTTTTTTTCTTTCCTAATATGTTTTAAATATAAATATAGAGTAATCATTTAAATGTACAAATTCCCTTCATTATTAATGTATGTTTAACTTACAAAATCAGAATACATAGAATGTTTGGTATTATAAAAAAAAGTCTCACAAAAAATGAATTATGATAAAAAAATTTGTTTTATTCAATTATGTTTAATTATACAATAAATACAGTTTAATTTTTAACACTTAATAGAATGATCTTTTGTATATTTAATTAATTTTTTTTATTTATTAATTATAAAATAATATTTGTTTTTATTTCAATTACATCACTGCACTACAACTATAATTTTATATTACACTTCTTTTAGAATTTTGTTGTTCCACAAAAGCCTTTTAAAAGAATGAACTACGGAGAAGCAATAGAATTTCTACGCCAAAACAATATAAAAAAAGAAGATGATACATTTTTTGAGTTTGGTGAAGTAATTATTATTTTGTTTATTTTAATGAATTATGTTAAATTACATTGTGTGTATTATATTATTATTTAATGAATTTTTGTAGTATTTTGAAATGTTGTAATAAAGTATTTATTATTTTAATGAATTCTAGGACATCCCAGAAATGGCTGAAAGAAAAATGACAGACATGATAAATCAACCAATAATGTTGTGTAGGTTTCCTGCAGAAATTAAATCATTTTATATGTCACGCTGTCCTGAAGATAACCAACTTACCGAATCTGTATTAATTTAATCTATTAATTTATATTTATTTGTTGATTTTTTTTTTTCAATCAGGTTGATGTATTGTTACCAAATGTTGGTGAAATTGTTGGTGGATCGATGCGTATTTGGGATCAAGAAGAATTGCTGGCCGGATATAAAAAAACAGGAATTGACCCAAAACCATACTACTGGTATACAGATCAGGTATAATCATCATTACTATACTAAATATAATTATATAGAAGTTAAAATATCTGTATAAAAATATGTGTGTTAAAAAAAATTCAATTTGAAATTTAAACACTCAAATATTTTAAAAATAAAACCTGTATGTTAGACTAAATATTGTCATAAAAATCTGGCTAAATAATATTTCTCTTAATCTTACAATGTTTTTTTTTTATAGAGAAAATTTGGATCATGCCCTCATGGCGGATATGGTCTGGGATTAGAAAGATTTATGTGTTGGTTATTAAACAGATATCATATTCGAGAAGTATGTCTATATCCTAGATTCTTGGATAGATGCACACCTTAAGTTTATGGTTTATTGTTTGGAATTGAATAATGAATGATATACATGGATGTATAATTTCAATATATTTTACTGTATAATTGAGCATTTTGTTAAATTGAAATTAATGATTTTTAAATAAACAATATAATAAATTGATTAAAAACATTAAATATTTTGAATTAAGTATTTTATATAGTATTATAACATTTTATTAATTATCAATTAAATTCATTAACCAATTAAAATTTAATAATTTATTTTTATCAAAAATTATGTTTTTGATCTATATAGTAATTGTACATAAAAAGATTTTATTTTTATCAATATCTTTAGAATTATTGTGATTCTGATATTAATGAGTTTTTTTTTTTTTTTTTAAATCTAAATAACATTTAATTATTTAAGTTCCTTTTTATTCTGACTCATCTATTATTGAAAAGAATACGTGTAAATTAAATTAAATACTGGAGGGCTAGGAATATACAAATTATCTATTTTTAAGTGAAAATTCTTTATAGAGGGTTTGGGATAAAAATCAGATTATCGAGCGTCACAGTCGGTTGTAAAATATATTTATATTATAATTAAACACTATTTTCGAAAATTAAAGTAATTTGGTTTAAAATGTATTAAATAATTTATTTATAATTTTAAACATTTTCCCAACAACCTATTAAGTGTTTACACTTTATTTTTACTAGCCAATGTAATCAAATTTTGAATTAAGTTAATAAAATGGATTTTATTAAATTACATATAAGATTTAATATCAATAGATTCCAATTTTCATGCGATATTTTCATAACGAATGAAGTTTTACTTCATCCGCGCGTACTCGTAACACGTACTGTTTTTTTATTCATCACTTTATTTTTGATAAACTAACAGAATTACTCTTAAATATTGAGTGATTAAAAATTATAATAATTAACATATACTGTGTTGGATACACATCAATATGCTGTCGAGAAATTGTGTTGTGAATATTTATGCTATCATTGTGCTACATTGAGTTGTTGTCAGTCTTCTCTATGTTTGCATTGCCATAGCCATCTCAGCGTTTTTTAGCTTCGATGCGAAGCTGAGATGGTATTAACTTTACTATGATGTGTTTTTTTTTTATTTTTTTATTTTTTTTGTGTCTGTGAACGCTCAATCTCAGTTCTCGCTGGACCGATTTTGATGAACAATATGTCAAAAGATCACAAATCGTATCTAGTCGAAGACATTACCCTCAAAAATTGAAAAAAATTCCCTCGTTCCCCGTAAACGGGGGAAATCCCCCAAAAAATTACAAATTTAAAAATCGCTAATTTTCGATATTTTTTCAATTTTTTTTACTTAAAATTGCCATAACTTTTTTAAAAATGACCGAATCAATATAATTTTTTTTTTTATAGATACCTTAGATAATTACCTATCATTTTATATATTTTTGTGAACATTTGACCCTTTAACAGCCCAAAGGATGGGGTTTCAAAATGGTAACTTTTTTACAAAAAATTAACTTTTTCAACTTAACTTTTGAAAATGTTCCGGAAAGACTGACAATTTTATATATACCTTAAATTAAAGCTAATGTAATATACTTTAATTTGAAAAAAAAAAATTTGACCTCTGGACTTGTCTTCATGGTGAAAATGACTACCGTATGCAAAAATATGCTATTTTTGTGAAAAAATTCTTGATATTATATTTTACATTTTTTAACATTATGTTGCTATAACTTTTTAAAAAATGCATGAATCAACTTTATTCTTTAATGATAAATACTTTATATATACTTCTTTCATTCGACATACTTTTTTTTAAAATCGGACCATTTCCCTTTATACAGGGGGGGTGCAAACCTTTTAAAATGCGTATAGAAAGTAGAACTTTTTCAACTTAACTTTTGAAAATGTTCCGGAAAGACTGACACTTTTATATATATCTTAAATTAAAGCTTATGTAATATACTTTAATTTGAAAAAAAAAAATTTGACCTCTGGACTTGTCTTCGTGGTGAAAACGGACATCAAAGTTAAAGAAAAACGTACGATTTCCGTGAAAAAAATCTCGATTTTATATGTTATATTATTTAATTTATATTTTATATAACTTTTGGAAAAATGTATGGATCAATATTATTATTTTTTTATAATAAATATTTATATACCCCTTTCATCTGGCACGCTTTTTTTGTAAATCGGATCATACCCCTTTAACAAGGGGGGTCAAAACTTTAAACATGCGTATTGTTACTACGATATTTTCAATTTAATTTTTGAAAGTATTCCGGAAATACTGACACTTTTAAATATATCTTAAATTAAAGCTTATGTAATATACTTTAATGTGAAAAAAAAAAATTTGACCTCTGGATTTGTCTTCATGGTAAAAATGACTACCGTATGCAAAAATATGCTATTTTTGTGTTAAAATTCTGGGTTTTGTATTTTATTTTATTTTAAAATACCTGACAAGGGGAGTACAGATTTTCATAAATATTATATAAATTAAAATTGATATAGTATAGATAGTTAAACTTATTTAAATATGTTTGTTTCTTTTAAGTCGAGAAAAATAACTTTGAAATTTGAACTAGCTTAAATAGCCAATTTTTCAACCGCCGGAAGCAACGTACGGTTGCCGAGTTGGTAAAATTTATGTTTTACACGCTTGGGGTACGAGGTTCCAACCCGCATATGGCAATGAATTTTTTGCATTTTTTCTTAATTCTTTTTAAGTTAGTATAAATTTTAACTCGTTTGATTTTTATCACATTTAGATTCAATAACTTCAATAAAGATCAAGGATCCCATCACTTTAGTCGCCCCTTGCAAGAAGAAATTTCTTATTCGTATTAAAATTATTTTACTATATTTTAAGTTTTCGCTTCGATGCAAAGCCGAGAAGATATTTTTTTGTGACTATCATTTATTTTCTCTGCTCTAACTTGACCTACTTTTTTCAACAATACGTCAAATTACTACAATTCGTATCTAGTTGAAGATATTACTCTCAAAAATTGAAAAAAAAATTCTAATTTATCAATTAAACAGTTAGTTATTACATCGTCTCCATAAAGACAATTAAAATCATTAATTTCTAATGTTTTCAAAATATTTATTAACGAATGAAGTTTGATATGATAGGTTTCAACTACAAAATTAAATCATTTTACTTTGTAATTTAATAATTTTATTACTCTGTTTGTGTGTGCTACTATTAGACTATAATATTCAAATTTTTTTCTAACGTGTTGCTATATAAATCATTTCTAAAAAAAATGATTGTTTTTTCTCCTGAATTAACAATTGATTTTTACAAATATAATCAAATTTTATAATAAACTCAATTGAGTAAATCTTTTTAACAACTTTGTTTTGATTGGTACATTTAGTTAAAGTAAATCATTAAAATTAATTAAGTTCTCAATATTTCAATTATAGAATCTTTTCAACAAACAACAAAAGTTCCTAGGAAATTATTACTATTACTTCTATTTAAGTTATCTATTACCATAAAAATGCAAAAAAATATTGAGCTTTTCTGATAAATTTACAATAAATAGTAATTATAAAACTTTCTGACTGCATATTGATCTTAACGATACAATTTTTTTAATTGTCATAAAATTTTCTATTTAATTATGTCAATGTCAAACTTACCAATTGAGCTAAAAGTTATGGTAAAATAAATTTTTTTTTTTTATTATAAACATTTACAACAATCAACTTTAAACGATTAACAAAATTGGTTAAATATGTCATTTTCCTTATTTTTAACTTATTAATAATCAAATTAATATTAAATATTATATCAAATCAGTATTAATTTAAAACAATTTTTTTTGTTCTTAATTATTTTTTTTTATATGTAAAAACTATTTTTTAATAATATTAAAACTTAGAAGTTATAGAAAAAGTCTAATTGCACATTTTAAAACATCGCGAAAAGTTGATTTAGAATAGTATATTTTTGTTTCTGATGGAAGTTCCTTGTAGTCCAGTGTATAAAACTTATAACTTTGTTAATTGTTATAACTTTATCAAAAATGACCAAATCAGTATATTTTTTTTTATTTAGATGCATGTCTTTATCTATCATTTGGTTTTTTTTATAAATCTAACCCTTTACCTGCCCACAAGAGGGATTCAAAATATTAACTTTTTTTTTTTTAGTTAAAGTAAATCATTAAAATTAATTCAGTTCTGGATATTTCAATAGTAGAATCTTTTTAAATATCAAAAATTACTTAGAAATGATTACTATGATTTCTATTTAAGTGTTCTATTACGATAAAAATGCAAAAAATAATGAGTTTTTCTGATAAATTTACAATAAATAATAATTATAAAACTTTCTGACTGCATATTAATCTTAAAAATAACATTGTTTTAATTCTCATAAAATTTTCTATTTAATGATTCATTCTAGTCAACGAAGGAGTAATTTTGCAGAATAGCAGAAAAAATTCCCAACAAACTTTTTTTTTTTTTGTTTTAATTAGGCAATTGGTGGATTATTCCAAAAGCAACATCAACTCTTATTTCTTTAATTATATCATGATTAGTAGTTCTTTGATTTTAAAATATAATATTTGAATATATACTAATTATAATTATTAAATTTAGTATGAAATTGATATTTAATATTGTAATTTAAACGGAGAAATTATAAAAATAATAAAGAAGTTATATTTTGCTTTACTTTTACGTGTATAAAAATTTAAAGGGCTTGATACAATAATTTTCAATAAAAACTGTTTGTTACTATAAAAAAATGCACTGGACTACAAGGAACTTTCATCAGAAGCAAAAATATACTTTTCTAAATCAACTTTTCGCGTTGTTTTCAAATCTGCAAGTAGACTATTTCTATCACTTCTAATTTTTTATATTATTACTAATTATATATATAAAATAATAATTAAAAGAAAAAAAAATTTGTTTTCAAATTATTACTGATTTGATTTTTAATATGTTAAAAATAATCAGTCCAAATTTTCAATTTTAACCTATTTTTTTGGTTCTTTAAAGTTGATGAAAAATTTTTGATAAAGATTTATGAAAGTTTATAGTAAAATAAATTGAATATATTACCATAACTTTTAGCTCAATTACAAGTTTAAAATTGACATCTAGGCCAGTCAACAAAGGAAAAATTGCGGAAAAAATTTTGTTTTTTTAAAAGTTGAATTAAAATATGTATAATGACATACTAATAGTCCTCAAGATTGGAATTGAGCTTTTTTTTTAAATCCTCGCAAAAGTTCAAAAATATGAGCTTTCTTAATTTTCTCAAAAAAAAATATTTAACTTACAAAAAAAAGTTTCGCACAAAAGTTGTTTAAAAGACAATTATAAATAAAAATATAATCTTATATTTTTTCATTTAAACAAATATTTTTCGAGTTACATTACATTTAATATGAGTAATAAAATTTATATTCCATTTTTTTCATTTTACGGTTACTTTTTATCATGTTATACTTACATTAGACACAATGTTATAAATGCATATGTGTGTATGTGTGAGTTTATTTATTTATTGTATCATTAAAGTGTAGTGTATATTGAGATACAACCGATAGAGTAGGTAATTGATTTGACGCTATATTATTTAAACCCAACTAAACGCTAAATTGTACATTCCGAAATAACAATCATATTATGTCAATTGCCACCGGAATATCTGGTAATATTTTTCTTTTTCTTTGCCTTAATCCCAACTACTTGGGGTCGGGCACCCTTATCCTAAGATTCCACTTGACACGATCTCCCACATCTTCTACGCTCACATCAGCTGTCCTCAAATCGCATTCAATAGCATCCCTCCATCTCTTTTTTGGTCTTCCTCTATCTCTTCTTCCTTCAACATTCATTTCTATAACTGTTCTTACAGCTTTCGATTCTTCTTTCCTCATACCATGACTAAACAATCTAAGTCTATTTTCTGTCATCTTATCCACGATTGACGCAACACCTATACTTCCTCTTATATGCTCGTTCCTTATCCTATCTTCTCTAGTCACTCCACTCATCCAACTAAGCATTCTCATCTCTGCTACACTTATTCTCTGCTCTACTTTCTTATCAACCGCCCAACACTATTAACCATACATCATAGCTGGCCTCACAATTTCATACTAAATTTAAAAACTATAATTAGTATTTATTCATATATTATATTTTAAAATCAAAGAACTACTAATCAGGATATAATTAAAGAAATAAGAGTTCATGTTGCTTTTAAAATATTTCACCAATTTCTCTAAAGGAAACACTATCTACAGATTTGCATCGAAGCGTTTCTTATGATAGTGATTTTAATCACTGTCAGATATCATCTATACTTATCTCATCTATGCCACGTCTATACTGTGCCTCGACCCCACTGTGCTACCGTTTTTTTTTAGCTATAAGCTCTAAAGCGCTTGTGAACCAGTAGTTTTGTATTCGTTTTGTTGTAAAAGTAAAATATTGTAATATTTGCGACTGTCGCACTCTTTTGCGCTCAGTAAATCGCCGTTTATCTATATATTTTCTGAGATACATCACAGTACCGTTTACAGCATATTGTACACGTTGGTTAGTTACTTGCATTCGACTTTAATTGATTCTTTCAATATTCAACATAATCAACAGCAATTAGTCGATAAGTATAATGCTTGTTCATCTTCCTTCTAAGACTTACTCACATTTATAATTTATTATTTGTTTAAATCAGCGCTATTGTGGCATCAGTATTAAGTGTCTCCCTATCTACATTGGTGTATATAAGATTTTATAATTCATCTATAATAAATTTAATTGTTATAATTATATATTGTAAGTTTCATTCTACATTCATTCATTCACTCACCTTAATCCTTATCCTCGACATAGCCAAAGACTTAAAACAAAATAAAACCACGAACGTCAACGAACCCGCGTGAATACCACCTGTTCATTTATACTAGGTAATTAAAAAAAGTCTGGAGCTAAACCTACATTTCTAAAGACTTTTATAGATTAATAACGTACTTGGACATTTATGATTACATTTTCAATATTATAACTGATTAGTGGGTTTAATAATTAATTATTTAGTGATTATGATAACAGTGATCATAAACATGCAGATGATAAAATAATTATAATTTTTAATTATTCAATTTTTTTTTTTATTGAAATAACTATTGTTAAGATTCACTGGTGTATTGTTACTAAGTTGGAATAGTAAATTGTTCAATGTATTACACTCATAATATGTTATCAAACGTTAAAAACTATTTTTTTTAAAAACCTCAATAATAAATTTACTTTTATATCTAATACATGATTAGTTGCTAATACTGCATTACTACATATCTTAGAATTTTATAAAATAGTATTTTTATTAATAATGGCAAAAGCATTTTTTCTGACACATTTTTTTATTTGACTTGATTTTATTAATAGTTATGAAAATAAAATCACTTCATTCATTTAGACACATATAGGTGTTTAGTAAGGGAACAGTTTTCTATTGATCTCATTGTTTATAACAATTTACCTATTTCCTTATTTACTGAACAACACTCTGTATAATTCAAATTTTTTTTTAGTCGTCCTGAAAACTTAGTTTTATAAATAAAAAATAATAAAGAAGTGAAATAAACAGTAAATTTAATTCACTACAATAGAATATTAGGTTTAATAATATTCTATTCCTCCTATCGGGGCATATGTTTTGAGGGTTCAGAGTAGAGAAATAGAGATTAAAATAAGGTAGATATTTGTACTTTTATAGATACAAATGAACCTTTTAATGTTACAGTGAATATTAATATTTAACTTGGATAAATATGCTTCACTAAAGTTAATTCTTTTTTAAATATAATTTAAGTATATTTAGGAATATTAAATAAATATTAACACAAGAATATATATATATATATATATATATATTTAATCAAATTTAAGCAAGCATTAACGACAATTAAATCTTAATAATTTATTAAAATGAGTTATCAAGGCAGGGTGTCCGATATCATGGACTGAAGCTACAGTAGGGACAGAGCTTACTACTGACTTCTTGTTTGACAAAACAAAATGAAAAAGAGCATCTTTTTTTAACATATTTTATTATCTCCGTTTTTTACATCGTCAGCGTTATTTGTGTTTATTTATTCACCAATGTTATTAGTTTGTACATGGNTATTTATTCACCAATGTTATTAGTTTGTGCATGTTATCATAGATTAAAATAATGTTCTTATGTATAAATATAGTTTATAAATTTATTGAATAATTTATAAAAAGTCGACAATACAATATTATATGATAATAGACATTTGTAACACTAGAAAAACTTAGATACGCACTAGGGACGTCTTCAGGTCAAGTTAACCTGGTCAACTTTATAGAAAGGCGAATTTAAAGTGTTCTTTTTAACTAATTTAGAAAAATTGGCGGGAGGCCGTATTTATGCGGAAAAAAAATGGGCGAAACATGAATTATCCGGAATAAATATCTCCGAAAAGTATATTATTGGAACTGTATAATTACGGAAACTTTAAAAACCGGACTGTAAAATTCAGGATCGTAAAATTTCGGACTGTAGAACGCCGAACTATAAAAATCCGGGAAATATTATTATAAGTGGTTCTCAATTTGCTCTGTAGTTCCATATAGTTTTATTTCATGAATACCTACTGAATCACGGTGATTAGATTATTATTAATTATCAATATTAATTAGAATATTGACCATAGTGTTTTAAAATTATTGTTGTATAGTCCTACAAATTGAAATTAGACATTAGTTTTTTCATATCTTTTACAACAGTACAGCTGTTATGAGAGGTAAATTAATTATTTGTTTATATTCAACTTGAATAGATTACACAATTTTTGTAAGATGGACACTGCAAAACAATTAGAACATAATTGAAAATAAAAGTTGAGTTCAGGGTTCAAGAAAACGAATTTTTCGTGTAAATAAGCTCAACAAAGAATTTTTTTTCTTAAACCCAACCACTTGACACAATGTCTCACATTAGCAATCCTCATATCGAATTTTATAACGTCCTCTATCTTTTATTTGGTTTTCCTGTACCTCTTCTTCTTTAAAAAATATCAACGTTCGTCAATTTTAATAATTGTATTTTTTGGAGGATTTTTTCAATTTTTGACAATAATGTTTTCAATTTAATACGTTTTGTGATCTTTTACGTATCGTTAAGAAATAACTGTCCAGTAAGAACTGAAAAAAAGTAACAGACATACACAAAAAAACCCCATTATGGTAAAGATAATATCATCTCAGTTTCACATCGAAGCGAAATAATGTAAAATATATAGAAGTACATTTATATGTATATAATTTAAATTTTATTAATAATTTATCTCATTTTATTAAAACAAGAATGTGTTTGTGCCGATCACGAACTTTTTTTTACATTCAAGTATAAATAGATTGACTATAATAATTAAGCAAATAATGTTTTTAAATTAAATAATATCAAAGAATAATCAATTATACCAGAGAATTTTTATATATAACCTATTTAACTAAAAAAATGTAGTTATTCAGAATATATTATTTAAGTAAAAATAAGAAGAATAAAAATGGAGGTGAGTAACATATTTTATATGAAGTAGTTGATTGAAATCTAAGAAATTATTTCATTTTATTCCAGAAATGGCAATTGGTATATTTTTTTATGATAATTTCCTGTTTCATATTTAACGAAGGTAAATTTGATTTTACACTATTATGTCTAATAAGTTTATAAAATAAATTTCTTAATTTATATCTAACGTTTGAAAGAATATTTCATATTTAATATGTTTAAAAATAATACAAATGTTTTGAATGGTATAAATTAAAAAAAAACGCAGCACAGAACGTCGTGGCATAGTTGGCTCAAGTATAACGATATCTGACAGTAATTAAAATCACTATAAAAAAAACGCTTTAGATAATGTTTAATTTAAACAAATTAGTGGATTATTCCAAAATCTACATGATCTCCTATTTCTTTTTTTATATCCCGATTAAGATAAAATATGCCGGATGAAAAAGGGATTATTAAAAAATATTATTTTTCATAAAAAAATTGTGTTGATCTGTACACTTTCAATAAGTTATATCATTTTAAAGTAAAAAATGTAAAATATAAAATCGAGAATTTTCATACAAAAATAGCATACGGTAGCCATTTCCACCACTAAGNATGTCTGTTGCCACTTTTTCTCAGCTCTCACTGGACCGATTTCTTTCAAAAATACGTCAAAAGATCACAAATCGTATCTAGTTGAAGACATTACCCTTAAAAATTGAAAAAAATTCCCTCGTTCCCCGCAAATGGGGGAAATATCCAAAAAAATTACAAATTTAAAAATCGCTAATTTTCGAAACTTTTTCACTTTTTTTTCTTAAAACATCCATAACTTTTTGAAAAATCAACAAATCAACATAATTTTTTTTTATACTAAAACCTTAGATATTTACCTTTCATTTGATATCATTTTTTTGAAAATCTATCACTTAACCTGCTCATTGGGGGGGATTTAAAATGGCAACTTTTTTACAAAAATTAACTTTTTCAACTGAACTTTTGAAAATGTTCCGGAAATACTGCGTCCTTTAAACATATATCAAATTAAAGCTTATTTTACGTACTATAAAATGAAAAAAAAAATTTGTCCCGACACTTTTTCTTCTACATTTAAATGGCTGCCGTAGTTAAAAAAACACTATATTTGTGTTAAAATTTTCGATTTTCGATTTTAAATTTTCAACTTAAAAATGCTATAACTTTTTGAAAAATGTATATATCAGCACAAATTTTTTTTTCTAAATACATTGTAAGTACATCTTTCATTTAACATACTTTTTATTAAAATTGGACAATGTCCCCTTATATAGGGGGCGTTCAAAACTTAAAATATTGTAAAAAACATAGAACTTTTTCAACTGAACTTTTGAAAATGTTCCGGAAACACTGCGTCCATTAAACATATATCAAATTAAAGCTTATTTCATGTACTATAAAATAAAAAAAAAAATTTGTCCCAACGATCTATCTTCTATCCGCAAAAGGCTACCGTATTCAAAAATATGCTATTTTAACAAATTTTTTTTTTATAAACTAAACACTATCTACAGATTTGCATCGAAGCGTTTTTTATGATAGTGATTTTAATCACTGTCAGATATCATCTATACTGGACCCAACTATGCCATGACCCCACTGTGCCGCCACCCCACTGTGCTGGTTTTTTTTTTTTATTACTATATAATATACGACTAACGGCTTAAGTGAAGTATAATTAGTACAAATTATGAATAAAATATAAATCTAAATCATTAACAATAATAATTAAATACAAAAACATTTTACAGCATATAAATTTAGGGCTACAAGATTATCAGGATTAAAAAAGTTAAATTTACTTATTTTATTACATTCCACAAATATTCTATTTAGTGTTGTGTTATAACCACAAGATGTTCTATGATATAAAACAGAAAATTTTGAATAATAGCGTGAAAAATATTGGAGAACATGGATTGATACAATAAATAGGAGCAGAAGGAAAAATATTTAGTCATTTAATAATTTGTACATGTGGAGTTTTCTACTGAGATGTTTTTTTAACTTACGCCGAACCCGTTGTGATAACTCTATTAAATCAACTTACAAAAGATTCCGCAGGAGTCTACCATTTTCTAATACGAGTCTAATCAAGGCACAATACAAAGTTTTAAACAGTTAAATAAAAAATTATATAACTTATTAATTTATTAATATTATGTATTAAATAAATATTATTGAATAATTTAATCTTTCGTTAAATTATAATATCACATCTATTTTTTCATGTGCTCATGCTTTAAAAGTTCAATTTTTTACTATATAATAAACTTTTAGATTATATACATGCAAAGAAATCTCAAATAGATATAATTTAATTTTAATAAATGTATTAATCAAAACTTAAACTTCAAAACAAAACTTTAAACCAAAAAAATTATTTTATTCCCTAATCGAAAAATGTAATAATATAATAAATTTAGTTAGGTTTGTAATTAATAATTTATTAACTGACCATGCAATAATAAATCTAGTATAATTATCGTACATGGCATAAAAATTAAACTTTTAATTTTTTTTTAAAGTATAAGAATTTTGCAAAGAATAAAATAAGTAAATAATAAAAAATAAACAATCGGTCCCAAATTTTGCTCTGCTCGTTTTTTGGAAGATTAAAATAAAATTAAGGGGTAGAGAAAAAAAATTAATTTGATTTTTGGGGGACACCCTTATCTAACCACTGAAAAAGCACTGAACTGTATGGCCACATATAAGAAATGCAGAAAATAGTAAAAATTGTTAATTCAAATAAAAATGTATTAGATATATAAAATTATAAAAATATAAAATTCAGTAGCTTACAATAATTAGGTGATATTTTGTAGACGATTGCTGCTCATTCCATTCTGGTTTCACATTTGCTTTATTTTTAATAACAAAAAAGTTGGAATCATATTATATTTTTCAAAATAAACTTTTTTGTTAATATTGTTCATTTTTTTGTTAATTTGGCGAATTTCAGGTATCATAATTTACAATTCTTAAATAAAAAAAAGTTTTATAATTATAATTGAACTGTTGGTGTCTTAATATGCAATTGTTTAGTAATCTAAATAAAATTCGATTACAAAAAAAAAAATAAAAAATAATTATTGTACTCATTTAGGTATTAAAAATCAATATTCGGGTGAAAAAAAAATATGCCCATTTGAAAAAGGTACAACAAGAATGGCTGCTAAAATTGGTGACATAGAAACATTAAAACTAGCTTACGAAAGTAATTGTGAATGGGATAAATATACAACTACTGAAGCTGCTGCAAATGGACATTTTGAATGTTTAAAATATGCCCACGAAAATGGATGTCCATGGGATGTAGGTACAACCGAAGCAGCTGCAAAATATGGTAATTTAGAAAACTTAATATATATTCACAAAAATGGCTGTAAATGGGATAAAACAACAACAAGTGCTGCTGCTGAATATGGGCATGTTGAATGCCTAAAATATGCATATGAAAATGGGTGTCGCTTAAATAGAGGCATAACTACATCTGCAGCTGTAGGAGGTAATTTAGACTGTTTAATATATGCACATAAAAATGGTTGTCCATGGGATGGAGGCACAATATTTGCCGCTGTCACAAGAAATAATTTAAAAATTTTAAAATATGCCCACGAAAATGGATGCCCATGGGATCTAGGCATAACCGAAGAGGCTGCAATAAATGGTAGTTTAGATTGTTTAAAATATCTTCATATTAATGGCTATAAATGGGATAAAACAACAACAAGCGCTGCTGCTTCAAATGGACAATTTGAATGTTTAAAATATGCACATGAAAATGGATGTCCATGGGATAAATACACAACTGTATTAGCGGCACAATGTGGTCATTTCAATTGTTTAAAATATGCACATGAAAAAGGGTGCCTCTTGAATGAAAGCATAAGCGGATATGCAGCTCTAGGAGGTAATTTAGATTGTTTAAAATATGCACATGAAAATGGAAGCCGCTTGAATGACAGTATAAGTAGATTTGCTGCCCTAGGAGGTAATTTAGATTGTTTAAAATATGCACAAGAAAAAGGGTGTTTATGGGACAAAGAAACAACTAGAAACGCAGCTGCAAATGGACATCTTGAATGTTTAAAATATGCACATGAGAATGGATGTCCATGGGATGCCGGTACAACTGAAGAAGCTGCAAAATATGGTCATTTAGATTGTTTAAAATATGCACATAAAAATGGCTGTAAATGGAGTGAAAAAACAATAAGTAACGCTGCTTTGAAAGGACATTATGAATGTTTAAAATATGCACATGAAAATGGGTGCCGCTGGAATGAAAGNTTAAAATATGCACATGAAAAAGGGTGCCTCTTGAATGAAAGCATAAGCGGATATGCAGCTCTAGGAGGTAATTTAGATTGTTTAAAATATGCACATGAAAATGGAAGCCGCTTGAATGACAGTATAAGTAGACGAAAATGGATGGCTNGTTTAAAATATGTGCATGAAAATGGATGTTCATGGGATGTTGGTAATTCAAAAATTTTAGAATATATAGACGAAAATGGATGGCCGTGTAATGATGGCATTACTACTGCAGCTACCAAAAGTGGTAATTTAGAAATTTTAAAATACGCATATGAAAATGGTTGTTCATTTGATGATGGTATAACTACTGTAGCAACCGTAAGAGGTAATTTTGAAATTTTAAAATATGTACATGAAAATGGATGTCCATTAGACGATGGAATAAATAATCTCGACACCGATACAGGTGATTTTGAAATTTTAAAATATATATATCAAAATGGAATTCCATGGGATGAAAGAACAACAAAAGTAGCAGCAGATTATGATAATTTGGAATTTTTGAAGTATGCCCATGAAAACGGATGTAAATGGGCTATCGGCACAACTGCAGCTGCTGCTTTAAATGGTAATTTGGATTGTTTGAAATATGCCATTGAAAATGGATGTTCTTGGGATGAGGGAACAACTAGAGAAGCTGCAGCAGGAGGATATTTAGATTGTTTACGGTATGCTCATGAAAATGGGGCTAAATGGGACGAAGGTACAATAGAAACAGCAGCTTTGTATGGTAATTTAGATTGCTTAATATATGCCCACAAAAATGACTGTAAATGGGATGTAGGCACAACAAGCACCGCTGCCTCTATGGATCAATTTCATTGTTTAAAATATGCCCATGAAAATGGATGTCCATGGGATGATGACATAACTACCGCGGCTACCGAAAGTTGTAATCTAGAAATTTTAAAATATGTACATGAAAATGGATGCCCGTGGGATGATGGAATAACTACTGTAGCCACTAAATGTGGTAATTTAGAAATTTTAAAATAAGCACATGACAATGGATGCTTGTGGGATGATGGAATAACTACTGTAGCCACTGAAAGTGGTCATTTAGAAATTTTAAAATATGCACATGAAAATGGATGCTTGTGGGATGATGGAATAACTACTGTAGCCACTGAAAGTGGTCATTTAGAAATTTTAAAATATGCACATGAAAATGGATGCCCATGGGATAATGGAATAACTACCGCGGCTACCGAAAGTTGTAATCTAGAAATTTTAAAATATGCACATGAAAATGGATGCTTGTGGGATGATGGAATAACTACTATAGCCACTAAAAGTGGTAATTTAGACATTTTAAAATATGCTTATGAAAATGGATGCCCGTGGGATAATGGAATAACTACTGTAGCCACAAAAAGTGGTCATTTAGAAATTTTAAAATATGCACATGAAAATGGATGCCCGTGGGATGATGGAATAACTACTATAGCCACTAAAAGTGGTCATTTAGACATTTTAAAATATGCTTATGAAAATGGATGCCCGTGGGATAATGGAATAACTACTGTAGCTACAAAAAGTGGTAATTTAGAAATTTTAAAATATGCACATGAAAATGGATGCTTGTGGGATGATGGAATAACTACTGTAGCCACTGAAAGTGGTCATTTAGAAATTTTAAAATATGCACATGAAAATGGATGCCCATGGGATGATGGAATAACTACTATAGCCACTAAAAGTGGTAATTTAGATATTTTAAAATATGCTTATGAAAATGGATGCCCGTGGGATAATGGAATAACTACTGTAGCCACAAAAAGTGGTCATTTAGAAATTTTAAAATATGCACATGAAAATGGATGCCCGTGGGATGATGGAATAACTACTATAGCCACTAAAAGTGGTCATTTAGACATTTTAAAATATGCTTATGAAAATGGATGCCCGTGGGATAATGGAATAACTACTGTAGCCACAAATAGTGGTCATTTAGAAATTTTAAAATATGCACATGAAAATGGATGCCCGTGGGATAATGGAATAACTACTGTAGCTACAAAAAGTGGTAATTTAGAAATTTTAAAATATGCACATGAAAATGGATGCCCGTGGGATGATGGCATAACTATTGCGGCTACTAACAGTGGAAATTTAGAAATTTTAAAATATGCACATGAAAATGGATGCCCGTGGGATGATGGAATAACTACTATAGCCACTAAAAGTGGTCATTTAGACATTTTAAAATATGCTTATGAAAATGGATGCCCGTGGGATAATGGAATAACTACTGTAGCTACAAAAAGTGGTAATTTAGAAATTTTAAAATATGTACATGAAAATGGATGTCCATGGGATAGTGGCACAGTTACTGCGGCTATTCAGAGAGGTAGCTTTGAAATGTTTAAATATCTACATGAAAATGGTTGTCCATGGGATGAAGAAACAACAAAAGTTACTGCTACTTATGGTAATTTACAATTCTTAAAGTATGCTCATGAAAACAAATGTAAATGGGCAATTGGCACAACTAAAGCTGCTGCTTTTAGAGGTAGTTTTGAAATTTTAAAATATGTACATGAAAATGGATGTCCATGGGATAGTGGCACAACTAGAGATTCTGTGGCAAGTGGTTGTTTAGACTGTTTAAAGTATGCTCATGAAAAAGAGTGTCCATGGGATGAAGGAACTTTAGTTACAGCTTCTGCGCATGGTAATTTAGATTGTTTAAGATATGCACACGAACATGGATGTAATTGGATCGAAGGTACGACGAGAGGAGCTGCTGCAAATCGAAATTTAGAATGCCTCAAATATGCCTATGAAAATGGTTGTGAATGGGACGAAGGCACAACGAGGGAAGCTGCTGCAAGTGGATGCATTGGATGTCTGAAATTTGCTAATGAAAATGGATGTAATTGGGATGAAGGTACAATAGTAACAGCTTCTGCACACGGTAATTTAGATTGCTTAAAATATGCCCACGAAAATAGATGTAAATGGGATGAAGGCACTACAAGACTTGCTGCTGCAAATGGTCAGTTTCTTTGTTTAAAATACGCCCACGAAAATAATTGTCCATGGAGTAGAAATACCATTTATGAAGCTAGTGTAAGAGGTTTTGTTGATATAATTTACTACGCATACGAAAATAGCTGTCCTGATTAGTTTTGAAATATTATTTATTTGTGCCATTATATTTTAAATAAATTCTATAAGCCAAAATGTTAATCATTTTATTGATAGCAATTATATTATTTTACTTGCTCAATAGAAATTATTTTTGAAATTATGACCAAAATTTAAAAAAAATATATCTGAATTTTTAAATCATGTATTCAATGTTTATAACATATGCAATACAAAAAAGTTGTACAAAAATATTTTATAATATTACACTAATTGTATATAAAATTAATGTGTATATTAATAACATAAATTGATGTATCTAAAATGCCCTTCTAAAATATTGTCCCTTAAAATACTTATGACAAACATTTAAATAATTTATATTATTACTGTTATATGTTAGAAAGAATTTTTTTTGTAAACTAAAATTATTTAATGAGTTACGAGTTATATGAGTTTCGAAAGGCTGTTGTTATAGGAAGGGAATTAGGGTAACACCTGGGTATAAGGTGTAGACGAAGTGCAAGACACAAGTACTTCAAAGAGAGAACGGGGTAGCTGAGTATAAGATGCAGACGAAGTGCAAGACAAAAGTACTCTGAAATGTTGTGGAAGAGAGTAGATAGGTTTAAAAAGGAATAAATAAAGACTTTACTTTAAGCAGTAAGCCGGACATCGACAACCGAGTACTGAGACTGATGAATGACACAAGGCACTGGAGTCGACTGACCACAATGGTCAGGTCTATTGGGTTCTTATAATAATTAGAACTATTGCCGATTTGACAATAAATATTATTTGTTAATTCATCAGTCTCAGGCAGCGGATGTGCTGTCTGTATTTTATTAAAATAATTCTCACGATTATGAAAACGTGACACCATCACATATGTTAGAAAGAATTTTTTTTATCTGTCAACTTTAGTAAAAGTTTTATATCCCAATGAATAATTACTGAATCATCGATAGATAATTGAAAATCATTACTTATGTTATTAATAACAAATACATTTAAAATTTTATTTTATTAATAGTTTAAACTAAAATTATTTAATGAGTTACGAGTTACTTATAATTCTTCTTATGTTATCTTATTATTTCCACTAGATATTTTTTTTTCATACATCTGATTTTTTTCTTAATAATAATTAGTTATATCAATTCAAAACATACTTTCGGGCGTTCAGTTTTTCTTTGTGGTCTTTAAAATCCATACTTTCTAGATTTTTAATTAATTCCAAACCGTACAATATGTAAAATTTTTTACATTAAAGTATAAATAGATTGACTAAAATAATTAAGCAAATAAAGGTTTTAAATTAAAATATTATCAAAGAATAATCAATTATACCAGAGAAATTTTATATATAATCTATTTAACTAAAAAAAATGAAGATATTCAGAATATATTATTCAAGTAAAAATAAGAATAGTAAAAATGGAGGCGAGTAACATACTTTATATAAAGTATTTTATTGAAATCTAAGAAGTTATTTTATTTTATTCCAGAAATGGCAATTGATATATATTTTTATGATACATTTTTAAACGATAATTACATTTTAAGTTAACTGATAATCAGTATGTTTCAATGTTTTGGAAATTTCCATTAAATTCGATCGAATTTTCAAATAAAAGAACATTTGTAAATATTTCATATTTAGCGTGTTAAAAAAAATACAAATGTTTTCAATCCATTATTTTTACCATGGTATAAATTAAAAAAACCCAGCACAGGGGGGTCGCGGCACAGTGGTGACGTGGCATAGTTGGATCAAGTATAATAATATCTGACAGTGATTAAAATCGCTATAAAAAAAAACGCTTCGATGCAAATCTTTAGATAGTGTTTAATTTTAAAAAATTGGTGGATTATTCCAAAAGCTTCATAAACTGCTAGTTCCTTATTAATATCCTGATTAAGACAAAGTATGTAGAATAAAAAAGAGATTATTAGAAAATAGTATTTCCCATAAAAAAATTATATTGATCAATACACTTTTCAATAAGTTATAGCATTATAATGTTAAAAATGTAAAAAATAAAATTGAGAATTTTCACACATTAATAGCATTTGGTAGCCATTTTCACCTTGAAGATAAAATAAAGTCCAAAATTTTTTTTTTCCATGATAAAGTATATTACATTAGCTTTAATTTAAGATATATATAAAAGTGTCAGAC